CACCGGCTTCGTGAACAAGGTCATCTCCGCACCGTCCGGTAAATCCGATGACTCGGAGGGCTTCCTTAAGAAGGTTCTCGAGGAGGTCGACGATCGTCTGGGCACGCATCTGAACCAGTCGAGTCTGCTCAAGATCAAAGAGCTCATTCGTCGTCCGGAGCGGGAGCTGCTTGACCGTCAGAATACGTATGAGGTGTTTGCCGGCATGGAGCGGTTCGTGAAGGGGTATCCCCAGGAGGAATTCCACAAGTTGGCCTCGGGTGAGAAGAGGCATAAGCTGTAGACGCTGGGTTTTGCATGTAGATATGGCATAGCATTGTTCCTTGGACAAACGTGATTTATTGCCAAGGATACGGATTTCGACAGTTACCTCTGAGGAATCCTACGAAATAGTGGAATTATGAAACACGGAAATCTTGCCCTAACCAGCAATCATTTCTTTAAACTGAAACGCTATCTTATACATATAACTCTTCCCTGCTTTATCAGTTCTACAACGCCGTCCGTCCAAATGCCCCGTGAACCAAGAAGCTTCTCTATCGAAAGTCGTAGTAGCAAACAGCAAATGAATGTAGCTATCGTCCATCGTCACTGTCCGTATCCTCCTGCGTCTGCTTGGCTAGAATGTCCTGCCATTTACCCAAAAACTCACTCATGCCACCTGGCCCAGAAAGAGACGCATCAACAACCTCTCTGGGCAACTTGTGCGCGGAGTACTGAGGCGTACTGAAAGAATATGCCTCCGGGTCGTCACGCTTCACGAGACGGAATTCCGGGAGGAACGGCAAGTCGTCTCCATCGTCTGCGCTTCCAACATCTTCTTCTTCTGACTCGCAATCCTCATCTCCATTTACCTCCACCACTGTGGGGTTTGCTCCGTTGAGAGACAGTCGAACAAAGCTTTCCTCGGGGCCATCGGCGTCCTCTTCCTTTATTCCGATAGGATCCTTCATCTGCAGGATTTCCAGCCAACTGAACAAAAGCGGGTCGGTTCTGTCTGCCCAGGGGTTGATGTCGATAAGCCACACACGCTGGTGCGGCTCAGGGATATACACGTCAAAGACGAAGTTGGGGTCTGGGAATGTGTCCTTGAGCTTCTCGTCGAAGAAAGCCTGGATGCGTGATCGAAGGGTATCCCGCAGCGAGAAGAGGAAGTCGAAATGATTCTGGTCACGCTGACACATGCACAAAAGCACGCGGTTACGGACAAAGCAACGGAATTCAAGAGAGGGGTTGAAGTTGACGTATTTGCGGAGGACGAGGTGGTAAGGGATATCGGGCTGGGTGGCAGGCGCCTCGGACGAATCGTCTGTATCGGGCACGCAACCGTCAAATGGATGCTCCAAGTCGTGTGTGATGAAGTCGCTGCTCTTCAGGAGGAGGTATATATCATTTGGTGTTCGGCATTGAAGATCGTTCGTCGCCGACATCCACACGGCATCCTTTGGCGCACTCCAGTTCAGCTTTGGTGTTACTTTACCGCCAAACTCTGAGATGGTTGACTTGATCTGGGAGTGAATTTCTTGCCATTCAACCGATGGATCTGACTCCTCGTCTGCACCATCATCGGAGAATGTGTCTAGGTCATCATCGCCCTGTGGCCGTGTGGTCTCTGGTGGTAGAACGATTCCGTCGGCGCGGAGGTAGGATACGAATGAAGGCGTCAAAGGTATAGCACGAGATTTAGGGGTGAGTGTGCGGTATCTAGTCCACAACGCTGCTGGTTAACTTCATGAGCTTTCAGACGTTTGAGAAGCATGAGGAGCATACCGAGGTTGCCAGTGATGATAAGAGCAATGAAGGATGTGAGAGTAAGTGACTGGGGGAAAGGGCAGCCTCTGCGGCTGCGCCGCTGAAGACTCAGCCGGAGACCGTGTATCAGGATCTAGAAGCGGCATGATCGCTGTTGATTCGTAAAAGCAAAAGGATCGATAAAGAAATATATGAGGGGCAAAGATCCTCGATTATTTATCCGTATCTATGAGTATTTTAGTGACTCAGCGGGGCCGACCGTCCTTCAAGCAGGTACTTACCATTTGTGGATTAGTCAAATACTCTTTGTCACGTATTGTAAGATTGTAAGATGGAGATGCCACGTGTGGTGCCTGAGGCACCATTGATGATCATTGCTTGCGGCACAGCTAAGCTCTCATCAGCCATTGTCTTTCCGTGTTGTTGGCAGTTTCTCGTCCAGCATCCTGTGCGCCCGTCAATATGGCGTCGGCCGGTCCGGATCCGCAAAGCCTCAAGTCATGGCAGGATGCCTTCCAGTACCCAATTCCCACCGTTCGCCATCTGGAACAGGAGCTCCGTCGGGACATCGCGAGCAACAAGGAGAGGCTCCGGGCTCTGGTAGGGTGAGTGTTCAGCAAGACAATTGGGTGGAATTATTGCTGATACTAAATTCGCGTTCAGAACGAGATACCGGGAGCTCGTTGGGACTGCCGAGACAATTGTGGTGATGAACCGCGAGATTCAGGAGGTGGATTCGACTTTGGCCGATATTGGACGAAGATGCAACCCACGATTGATCGAGAGGACGCATGCGCACATGAATCAAATAAAGGATGATGCTCAGGATAAGGGTAAGAAGCTTGCGCTCTCGGGCTTTGCAGTTCAGGGAATTGATTCAAGTGCAGAAACAGAGCGACGAGCACTGGGGGCTCAGCTTTCACTTCTCCACCGCTGCACACAGGCGATTGCATATCTACTGAGAAAGCGCGGTTCCACACTGCTGATGGCGAAACTACTGGTGCTTTCTCGACTGCTTCACAAAACCCTTTCACAGCAGAAGAGCATCCCGCCATTTCTGGACAATTTGCGCAACCAGTTAGCGTCCCTTCGACGGACACTCCTGAAGAGAATCGACAAGCGGCTCGCGTCCGCAAAGTCCACCGTTGACGATACAATCGAGTCATTGGCCGCTTATTGCCTAGCGACAAGCTCCTCATCAGACGATGCTATTCGCCATTTTCACCACGTTCGCCTGGATGTCATTGGAAACCTGCTGGGACTTGATGAGTCGTCAGGCGAGAATGTTCCGAACGCTCTACAGCTCTACATCCAAACTCTGCAAATGTCGAAGGCTCTTCTTTCTCGTCGATTGTCAGATGTGCTCAATAAGTTGAAAGCGAGACCTATCTTGGCCGATCTTGACATCCTCAGTCTCGATGAACTGAGTGTTGACGTGCTGGGACGTTGGGTAGCTGCAGACGTCAAGAATTTCACTCCCTGGATCAAACTAAGTGAGCTGTCGAAACCAGAAGCCGAAAAGACAATCAAACAGTGGTCAAGGCAAGCATTCGACGCTTTCGTCAAAGGCTGCAGGCACACCTTGACAGACTGGTATAGTTTCTCTGAATTACTTGCTCTTCGTCGCAAAACTTTGGAATTATGGCTCAGCTCCTGGGGCTCAACACCTACTCATTCGCCCATGAACATCCTAAAAGGCATTCAATCTGCTTTCAATGAGCGGCTCAGCCAAATATTATCAGATCAGGCCAAAGAGTTGGAGCAATTCGGCCGAGCTGTCTCTTCTGTGGTCACAAATTGGGACACCAACGAACACGTTGAGACTCTCTCCCTTTGGGATGACGAACTAATCGACCTTGACTTCTCAGATGGTGCGGCCGTATTCAAACAAACAATCGCAGATAGATTGCTTGGCCGCGACGCAGACGTATCCGCAGTGTTAGCAAAGTACGAAACCTGGCTTGCGGCCATTGACAAGTCCAAGGAGTATATCAATGAGATGAAACGAGTGCGATGGACCGACATCCTCGAGGAAGGAGAAGAGGAGGATGCAGACATGGATATAACAGCCATATTGAACGACGACGACACTACGTTGCTGAAAGCCGCGCTCCAACAATCTGTCCGAGAGTCGTTCAACCACCTGCAGTCATCCTTCGCCGAGAGTCTCAATTCCTTTGGATCTTCTCATCGAGACAAGAAAGCCGCCTTCCTGCTAAAACTCATTAGACTGGTTAGGAAGGACCTGCCCGTTGACTTCATTTCCAGCGATTTCTCCTTTTCCAAAGAAATCGTCCCTCAGCTGCAAGAAATCCTTACCGCACGGGTAGTCACACTTACAGAGCCCTCGAATATATGGCCCAAACGCGTCTCCCAAACAAATAAAATATTGCCAGGTCGGAGCCTTTGGGAGGGTGACCCTGAACTTCCGGTCCAGCCTTCACCAGCAATCTTCAAGTTCCTCCGACGTCTTGTAGACACGATGGATGCCTACGGCTTAGGGCTTTGGGACGTGTCTACCACTCAAGCGCTGAAGGAAGGATTGCGAAAAGTGCTTTGGGCCACCGCTGCAGCTACTCTTGAGAAGGCTTCGGAGTCGGTAAACGATCAAGAAGAAAGCGCAGCATCGAAAGAAGCTCAAACATTCGAGAATGGAGACAATGATAAAATCGAGCAGTCGGAAGCCGATGTTGCGATCGGAGCGCAGAACACCGACGATTACAAGATCCAGCTCTACTTCGATCTAGTCTACTTGAGGAATGCTTTGTCGACCACAGAGCCGGCTCAGGACCCTTTCTCAGACGCTGTAGAAAGCCTCTCCAGCAGTCTGAACTGGAATCCGAAGACGGTCAAAGTCCTTGAGCAACGAGCTCATGATTATTGGAAACGGACGCATCTGTTGTTTGGGCTTCTGGCAGTGGGGATAGAGCAATCATGACCCGCATCAAACCAAACATTTTGTATATATCATCTGTTATGCACGTACATAACCATAACTTTCGCAAGGACTGAGTTCAATCCATTTTCTAATTTATTATTAAACTACCTTGACCAACTGGCAACGCCCTAAATAGTCATTATTATTTCGCGGCTTCTTCACCGCCCACGTCACGTTCCGACCCGCAAACAACTTCGCCGCGGGAAAGCTAGAATGCCTTCTTGCCAACTTCCTACCTGTCTACGCAACCCACGACGGCTTCAATACATATGTTCTCGGATGATCTGGCGGTAGCTCCGACTCTTCCATCATGGCTTCCCCACGGTTCCCGTTTCTGTATCCGCATTTGATGCGCGCGATTAGAACATGCGAACTGTCCACCTACCGCACCATTCGGAGTCCGTCACATGGTCGTGCGTTCCACGCCGGTCGATATCGCGCTCAGGAAGCATATCACCGGCGCTATGGGCCCGCTGCTGAGGCCAACTTGCCTCCTCCGTCGAAACCCAAGGAAGAGTTCTCCAAAGAGCAAGAGTCGAAAACGCCAGCGGCGAAGGACGGTAATCACAAACTTGAGCAATCGCGGTCACAAGATGGTACCAAGGGAAACGTTCTGGACGCTTCACATAAGGAGGATGACGACCCAAAAGCAGCGCAGTCTCATGAGAGCCAGTCTCCGAATGACTCGCAGACGCAGGAGGAGTCCGAGCCCGACCTTGACGCCCCTGATATCCATGAAGTCTCCCCAGTTCCCACCGAACGTCCAAGCCAAGATCGGCATAAACCTAATTCCCTCAACGATAATCCACTCGAAGGTGTTCTCCATATGCCTTCACCTTCGTCGCCCTTAACCCCTACAGAAACATCTCCTTCCGCTACTAAACCGCACCTGGCTCCTGCCCCGTATGTCCATCACTTCGATACCTACTCCCTCGTCTGCGACTTATCAAAAGGCGGCTTTACGGAAGCGCAATCCATCACCATCATGAAGGCTATACGGACTATTTTGCACAACAATCTGGACATTGCCAGACAAAGCCTGACTTCTAAATCCGATGTCGAGAACGAGACCTATCTGTTCAAAGCGGCCTGTTCGGAGCTCCAGTCGTCCCTCCAGACAGCCCGAAATTCCGAAATGCAGAGGCAGCGTGCGTCCAGAGCACAATTAGAACACGAGGCGGATATTCTCTCCCAGCGCCTGAACCAGGAGCTTGCGGGATTGAAAGACGACATTAAGGGAATGTTCAACGACCACAAGATGACGACTCGAGAACAGCAACGGAGCATTGATACATCGGTTCAGGAACTTAATTATAAAATTACTGTTTCCTTGAACAGCGACGGCAAAAGTGAAATTGAAGGTCTCCGGTGGATTCTGACCAGGAGGGCTGCCATGGCTGTTGCTACGAGTGCCTGTAGGTCGTGCCCTTTTGCTCCTTGCAGACCTGACCTAACCTACATTTAGTCATGATTATTATTTTCCTCAAGTACTACTCTGTGCGCAAAGCGCAGGAAGCCGCTGAGAAGAAGAAAGAAGCCCCCGCTAAAGAAACCACCGAGAAGAGAGTAGTTCAAGAAGCCGCCCCACCGCCGACGCTACCAGCTGTCCCGGAGATCATTATCAGCGAGTCTCTCGGCTGATGGCAATGCAAGCGTTGTTCTACCGCGCTCCGGTCGCTCCTTGACTTAATTGTTCTACCAATTTTTTGTGATTTTTTCATTCACCCCTTCATACTAGACTTCCATTTCGCTGTATTTTCTTTTCTTTGTGCTTGACACCTGGTCGTTGGTCCTTGCGCGGACTCGTTACAGCACCACTTCGATACCCTGGGGATATTATAGACGCTTGAGCAGATAGACGGATGGATACCGAGTCATTATTCGTTTCTTGTATTGATCATTGTAACTGTACTTATCTATCATTCTATATATAAACAAGACTCACGGTCAAGTGAGCCGAGCCTTCACCGTTATCTCCGAGTAATTGTCACATTTCAAGTCATCATGAAGTCATGTGCACCAGGGAAGACGTAAATCGGTGGACAGCAGAGATACAAGAGAGTGAAGGTTGGAATCAGGAGAAATCGACAAAGAGCCAGCCGGGTCGTTCAGAAATCCAATCTGAGCGCAATACTCGGCATACTTTGCGATGCCTCCGACTGCGCACCGCTTGTTTCAGCTCTCCCAGCGCCAGCACCCGTTCCAGGATCCGAACTTCGAAGAATTTCTTCAAGCAGGCTCTTCTGGTCTGGCTTCATCGAGGCTACGAGACCTCGGAACGTGGCCTGGTCCGCTCGAGCAAGCTCCAGTAGATGAGCGGCGGTTTCTCTGTATACCGGGTAACTCTCGCGTTTGGCGCGCGCGAGAAGTGCGGACATAACAAGGGAGAGTGCCGTGGGCAATTCACTTGCGGCAAAGGTAGCGCTGGTGGCGTAGGAGACTAGCGTACGTGCAATGACTGTCCTTGAGTTCTCGGGGTCGCTTGGAATCTCCCCTTTGTCAAGGGGACAACCGACCAAGAAGGCTATGAGACGGGGAAGGAGATACTTGGCAATGAGATCGTCGGTTGGTGATCTTGGTGTAGAGGTAAGTAGGATTGAGCGGATACAGCCTGCAGCAACATTGGCAAGACCGACGTCCTGAAGGCAATCTAGGAGCTCATTTAGGACACGAGGGATGGCAGGATCTTGAGGAGGCAGGATGTGGCCCCCGGCTGTTAACAGAATCGTAATAGCAAGGAGGGTGTTTTTGGCACATGGTAGGGATGACTCGGACTCCCGTCGCTGAGCGATCGTCAAAGTCGTAAGGAAGCGTGTGAGACAACCGCGCAACTGGTGAGAGACGATGGCAAGATCCTGGGCTTCATCTGGCGCGGAGGTCTTGGGATGGCTGATGCCATGGATAAAGTGTTTGAACGTCGGAAGAGCCTGAGGCACTACTTCCGCTTGACACAGCCCGGTCGCCAAAATGGTGGTGAAGATGTGCAAAATGCATGCATTGAGGTCATTGCGGATGATAGATGGAAAGATGGAGGCAACTTGAACCAGAGATGAAAGGGCTAACCGGATCAGCGACAGGGAGTCATCCGACGTCACGTTGAATCGGGCCACAGAAGTGTTCTCACGCAGATTCGGTAGCAGCCCAGCCAGAACAAGGATGATACTTCGCGTGAGCTCGAAAAGCTGCTCGATATCATCGGAAAGATGGTCGCTGCGCGCATCTCCAGCCTTGGCTGATGGGTGGTCCAGTGAGAGGTTTCGTGCTATTTCGACAATCACGGTCTGGATGGGGGTTCCCTCAGTAAGGGCGAGCCGGTCAAAAGTGTCCATCGTCTCGGAAAAGATGGCATCCTGATAGATAGCATTTCCAGATATGACTGGCCGCAGAATCCTCTTGAGGGCTTGCAGGATATCCAAGCGCTGAGATGGCGTTGTCGATTGGTCAACCAGAGCTTCGAATGCCAAGCCAAAAAGTACGAAGAAGAATGCGACTGGTTCGTCGCGGTAGTTAATATCATGTTTCTTGTCCGCCGCTTTCCCGTTAGGCATGTTTGCTTTTTCTTCCTCTCGGTCCTTGGGCTCCGTTGTCTTCCCGTCCAGGGCGTCGAAGACGAAGTCGATATCCTTCTCGACTAAGCCGGCGATCGCGTCGACTAGGCTCAACCAGGAATCTTGGTAGAACTACGGTTTTTAGGGTCAGATTTGTCATGAGCATGCCTGTTTGACTGGGCTCACCTTCAAGAGTGTTTCCCGGTTCAACGCCGCGTACACCTCGTCTAGGTTGGTACTTTGTGGGCCAGTACCCAAGCTACCTGAGATGTCCGGTTCAAATCTTAGCCGAGCATATTCTTGGAGAGAAGAGAGCCACAGCGGGGTGAGCGTCGCGAGATAAGGTTGAACGACCTCGTTCAGATAATCCTGGTCGATGCTTGCGATCTGTAGCCGTGCCCAAGCGGCGAACAGAGCCATCTTGACCATGACTTTAGCGTTGGAATTGAGACCTTTGAGATCTCCAAACTCCGTCGTGTCAGGATTTTCTGGAGAAGTTCAGCATATTTTCAGGAACTCTTCAACTGTGCACTTACTAGAGAAGTTTTCCAGCCCGAGAACCAGGACCTTCAAGATCCTGCCCATCCGTTCCACATTTGTCACGATACCAGTTGCGATAAAAGTCGCAGAAACGTTGATTGCCTCCGATGCCAATTCTGGAGATGAATCAGCAGCAAACGCCGGGGTGAGAGCCGATCCGATCTGGGCTTGGTATTGCTCGAGGAGAGACGCCTCTGCAAAGTCTGGATCAGGAGTTTTGCCGAACATCTGTTATGGGTCAGTCATATCATCACCCTGTTGAAAGAAGAACGAGAGCCACATACCTTGAGAACCTGATCGATAATCTTCAGCCCCCAGACTCTGAGCTCTATGACGTTTGCGGTGGACGCTGAGAATGCCATCCGGACAATATCTCCAACCTTGTGCTGGAGGGCAAGTTCAGCAGGAATTGTCTGATCAGGCAAAATAGCCTCCTGAACTGTCGCCAGCAGCTGACTCAGACAACTCATCACAAAATTGCGTGTTTGCCATTTCAGCAGCTCCTGGCCGGCAACAGTTTCGTTTACGGTCTCCGACTGTCCTGCCCCAGCAATTGCAGATGCGAAACCTGCAACCTCGTCGTCTGGCATGTCATTGACAGCCGTCTTAACAGCAGACGTTGGTGGGATGTCCTCCACTTTCAGTCGGGTCTTGGTCAACGTATTCTGGCAACGCTGAATCCATTGCTCGGTCTCTGTAAGGGCGGTGTGCTGCAGCCAGTTCAGAATCATATTTTTCAGGACCAGGTTATCAGGCGTATCATCATATGCAAGCCAGATCTGCTCTTCGAGACTTGGCGTAGCTGCTCGAAGGACAGAAGTAGCATCTCGCTTCATGAGATTACTCAGTGCACGAATGGCCACATCCCTCATCAGAGGGTTGCCTGCAGATAATTCATTTTGGAGACGTCTCACAAACCCTGAAAAGTCCACAAATCCCGGCGCGTACAGTGACATGTGATCTAAGCACTTGGAGCTCTCAGTGACCAGAGCCGGATTGTCCTCCAGTTGAAATTGCCGGAGGAGCGTCAGAATCAGGTTTCGTGTTTTTGTGATGTCTTGAAGATCAGGGCCGAGGACATTGATCAGTGAATCGACGCAACGACTTATTACGACCGGAGTGAGGAAGGTCATTTCGATGTTTGATGTTGCCAAGCTTGCGGCCTCTTCATTGTGAGTATCGGCGTTGTATAGCTGAGCAAGCATCCCGAGCGCGCTGGAAACAAACGGTGAAAAAGTTAAGCCTGCGGAATTGGCTACTCTTTCTAAACCCCCAAGTGCCCAGAAGTGAACGACAGGGTGGGGATCGTTGCAAAGTGACATTAGGACGCCAACAATCGTCTTGAGGTGCAGGCCAGCTGCCATACCACCTACTTGTGCGTGAATGCATCCCAAGGCTGCTGCACAGCCGGCGCGTGCATTAGGCTCCCGGTTATCAACAATAGTATCGACCAACCACTTGACCTGTGTAGTCATAAGTGTGTTTCCAGCACCGTCACAGAGTCGTCCAAGTGCTTCAGCACCTATTGTTCGGACAATTGGATCTGCGTCAACGACGAATTTCTACGGTTGTCAGCTAGAGAATAGGTGAAGGAAGGCCCTCAGCATGTCTCACCTGCAACAACTCCTGCAGTACTTTCTCAGTAACAGGATTGAGCCTGCCGGATGCTGAGCCACTGTCCTTGGCAGCGACTTTCAGCGCATGAAGTAATGCCACCGCAATGTTGACGATCATTGCAGCCTTGCGGCCGGGATTGCGCTGAAGGCTCTGGGATGATAGGAACGTTGCAATCTGTTCCATAGTACTTTCCTGTACCTTAGGGGCGTACAAGCGAATAGCAACAGCGAACAGTTCAATTGCAGCATTGACGACTCCCGTGGCATGCGGGTCAGCCAAAACACTGTCTCTTTCACTCCTCGAAGAGTATAAAAGAAGAGAATCATGTTCGCTAGCTTGACAGATAGGGAAAGTCAACTGCTATTGTTAGTGCCGAACGCGCGTGCCAACTGGTAGATGAAAGACTCACTGCGTCGTCAATATCTTGGTCTGATGAATTGACAGCTGACCAAGCAGGACCATTTTCGTTGTCCTGTTTGCCTGAGAGGGTTGCACGGATATATTGTCGGGCTAGGCCAGTGACACCAAATCCAAAACTATCGCAGAGATCCCAGAGAGTCTCAAACTGAGCGGTTGCAGCCGCTATCGAACTTTCCAGCGGAGCAGGTTGGGTGTATTCTGGGTCGGCAAAGGAAGAGATGGAAAGACTCAAGAGAGTAGTCTGGGAGATGACATCGGCGTGGCTGAGAGGATGGACATCAATCAGCTTAGAAAAGCACTGCAGAACCCGTCGCCGGACCATTGTGGCCAGATCATGCAATTGCAATGAAGGTTGAAGGCGTTGCGAAAGATCTGCAACAGACTTCTGCCGCGGAAGATCATCGAGAAATTCTACCGTGTTTTGTAGCATAGCAGCGATTCTTCTCGCACCATCCGCTGTGATCAGTTTGCTGTTGAACTCCATGAATACCAACAGGGACCCCAAAGCACATTCCC